ACCCACTCTCTAAGAGCGCATCCTGAAATTATTTTTCTTTCTAACTTTTCTTTGGTCCCTTTTTAGCAACCTCTATGTTAGATTTATGGTTGTTTTGTTTTCTTATTTTTCATTTCCATTTCCTTTTCATTCTATTTGGAATAGCCTTATTCACTCTTATTCTAAGAAAAGTCAACATCCATCCATCTATGTCTCGGGACTAAAATCAACATAAAATTTGGAAAATTTGGAAGATGCCAAAAGCAGGGTCATTAAAATTAAGCCATGACCTCAAACACATTCTAATTCCAACATGGAGACAAAGTTGTAACACACATAAATAACCGAGTAGTTGTGATTATGTTGATCCTGCTGTGAAACGTTTTTAAAAGAGATCAAAGAATCTGTTTTTTCTGTCAAAATTGACGCGTTAACTTGGATTAATCCAGCGTCACAATTGACGCAATTCAAATTTTTAACGCAATGAACCCATCTGGAGTGCAGAACGGACAAACTTTGAACAAGCTGCCCGAAATGAATTGACAGGGACATGTCACGGATTCTGAGTCATTCTGTGCTTCAGGTGGGTTAATTGCGTTGGAAATTTTAATCGCGTTAATCGTGACGATGCATTAATCCACGTTAAAGCGTTAACATTGACAGCCTTAGATTTTCACTGACATTTCTGTCGTTTCATGTTTCAGTTTAACAAAGGTGGTTATTGTGCAATCCCAGGGTTTTACAATGCTTCCAAAGACATGCAAGGACAAGACATACTTCTGCTTTTGGAGAAAGGGAGGTATAAATGATGGAAAAGAATAGACAGTACATGACAGAAGGAGGCAAGAAGAGCAGAAGGAGCAGGAGGAAGGGGAATGACTGAGGTGTGAGACGGGATCTCGCTCTACTGACTGAGGAGGAGGAAACTGACTGAACATTGTGATAAAGGAAGAGCTAAGAGCAGAGACATGACAGAGAGATCACAGAGAAAAGAAGATAAAAAGAAAATAATGGGATATTTAAGAACTCCTCTTTACCTCAAGTGATATAGTAAGACAGACAAAAGGACAGAGAGAGAGGGCGAAGGATGGAGAAAGACATCAAACAACTATAGTCATAACTAAAAATGAGTGGCAATGACTTATTCATGTTCATGTATATTAGGTGACAAATATAGAAATCAACATACATTCTCAGTAACAAACCAAGATGGTTACACCTGTTTTTACTAAAGAAAAAAAACTAATTGCATGGTTTGTGTTGCAGATTTATGAGCAGTGGGAGGTTTAGCAATTACAAAGGAAGCAGAACAACATTAACTTCAAGCACCAGCATATCTGACTTAGAGAGTACTCATAGCTTCTGAAAATGATTGCCTGCTAGGCACAATTTAGACACAGAAGCAACCGGCAGCAAACTGATTACTCTCATCAAGAAGGACTAAGCAGCACTTTTAGAGTCAAAGTGACAAGGTTAGTAACTCAAAATACTTCAGTGATGTCTGGTGATTTCCTGACGGGTTGGGTTGCTGAGGACTTTGACTGGGAGGGGGATTAGCACAGCTGAGTGTGGATGAAATTACTTTTTAGGATTTTAAATAGCCATGCACACTTGGTGTCCTCGGGAATCGAATTCCATACAGGATGAAAGCACTTACAGGCAGATATTATTATGCTGTCCAATAGCTAAACAAAGATGAAACATGACCCCACCCTCCTTTTGGAATCGTCTCTTCTATTTCGTTGCTTTATGCAGCTGTCCAAATCTGTTTCAAAATGCACGAGACATCTTCTCAAAGGTAGTGCAGCAAGGCCTGGCTGCGTAGACAACAGGTAAACGATCCAAATGGCACAGTTACAGCCAAGACAATGAGGCGTTTGGCTGGTTTGCGTTGTATATATGGGGCCGCAGTTGCAGTTTTGTTGCTCTCATGTAGCTCATTTGCTCCAGAATGAAGAATGGTGTGGCACGTGTTCAGCGCTGCAGGATTTGGTGTGTGCGACGAACGCACCCACCCAGAAGCTGTGTTTTATTTAAACATTCAGGGCATGTTGAATGAACGATGATGAATGAACAATGAAGTGGAGGTCGCATGGCAAAACAAACTAATGAGTGATAACTGAAGAAAGAGTGGGTTTCAAATCAAAGTATGTGATAGCTTCCCTTAAGCTTTTATAAATATCTGTGCCACAAACCTTGGAGACCATGTACACTGACAGTGTTATAGAGAGTTTTCCCTACCATCACCTTGTTGGTGCTCGTGTTGCCTTTTAGAGCAATTTAACTGATTTGTGTGGCAAATGCTGTGACCTGTTGTGAAATACAGCCAATCCAACAAGTCTGTGCTCCATTTGTGGTGACTCACATCCTAGTATCATTATTAGTCTTACAACCAAATAACAGGTAATGCTTTAATGTGTTGAAAA